CGCTTTCCTGTTTTCATTATAGTTTTTCTTATTTCTCTTGGTTTTTTTTTTCCTCTTACTGTGGTTTAGAAGTTCATATATTCCATTGTATATCCTTTTAGAGATTAGCGCCTTAACTTTTTAGCATAACATACTTATCACAGTTTAAAAAGTAAATTCATTTCTCTATCCTCTTTAACTTGTACAAAATCTTGATAAACCGTTCATTCTCCTCCATGCTTCCCATGTTGGTGTTAGCTCTTCTAAAGTCCACCATTTTTTTTGTTGTTTATCCCCCTGGTGGCTCTGTTATTAGTCAATCTTTATTAGATTAAACAAAGTGTTCACCAGAGTCTTGTTTACCATTGCCTCTTGCATCCTACTTATTCTGCCGTGTTCTTTTATGTTCTGTTGTTTTTTTTTTGTTTTTTTTTTTTTTACTGAAGTAAATCTCTTAAAGATCTTTTATCCAAAACAAGATCTTGAGACAAAAAAATACAAAAGATGATAAAAAATAAATAGAAGTTATTTTAGAAGAGTCCATGGACCAGACATGGTAGGCTCATGCCTGTACCCAGCACTTTGAGAGGCTGAGCAGGCAGATCATCTGAGGTCAGGAGGTTCGAGACCAGCCTGGCCAACAGTGCTGAAATGCTGTCTCTTACCAAAAACACAAATATTAGCTGGGCGTGGGGGCGGGTGCTTGTTAATTCCAGCTACTCAGGAGGCTGAGGCAGGAGAATTGCTTGAACCGGGAGGTAGGAGGTTGCAGTGAGCTGGGATCACGCGCATTGGCACTCTCCAACCTGGGGTGACAGAGGTGAAACCTGTCTCAAAAAAAAAAAGTGTCATGAATGATAATAAGCTGTTCTTTAAAGTTTCTTTATTTTTCCTTTCATACTGCATGATTATCTAGCTAAAAGCAGAATTTCACATTGCCAGTTATCCCCCCACATTTTGAAAATATTTCACTACTTTTGACTTTCTATTTATTTATTTTATTTTATTTTATTTATTTATTTATTTATTTATTTTGAGACAGAGTCTCACTCTGTTGCCCAGGCTGGAGTGAGTGGGAATGAATCTCAGCTCAGAGGAAAAAGACAATAAAAACAAAATAAATGATATTTGCCATAAAAGAAACATATAAGTAACCAAAGTAAAAAGTAATAGTCCTCTCTAATACCTCCAATGCCACATCCAGCAGTAGCTTTCCAAACCTTTACCAAAACATATATGTAAAGTAATCATATTTGGAAAGGAATCTAAAACGGACCTTACTCTCCTGCTTAAAATTGTTCACTGGCTGCCTATAGGATAAAATGCAAACTACTTAGTAGAATATGCTAAATTATTTTATGATTTGACCTTGACAGCCCATCTAGCCAACTCCCATCCAGTCAAAGATCCAAGTATAACTTCTGATCTCCCCCCAGTTTTTTTTTTTTTTTTTGAGACGAGTCTCACTCTGTCACCCAGGCTGGAGTGCAGTGGAGCAATCTTTGATCACTGCAACCTCTGCCTCCCAGGTTCAAGCAATTCTCATGCCTCAGCCACCCGAGTAGCTGGGATTACAGGCACATACCACCATGCCTGGCTAATTTTTTGTATTTTTAGTAGAGATGGGGTCTCATCATGTTGGCTAGGCTGGTCTCGAACTCCTGACCTCAAATGATCTGCCCGCCTTGGCCTCTTAAAATGCTGGGAGCATTACAGGCATGAGCCACTGCACCTGGCCTGATTTCCCCAAATCTTAACTACCAATAGCTTACCGTTGACCAGAAGCGTTACCAATAACATAAACAGTCAACTAACACATATTTTGGGTGTTGTGTATATTACACACTGTATTCTTACAATAAGGTAAGCTAGAGGAAAGAAAATGTTGGCCAGGCATGGTGGCTCATGCCAGTAATCCCAGCACTTTGGGAGGCCAAGGCAGGTGGATCATTTGAGGTCAGGAGTTCAAGACCAACTTGGCCAACATGGTGAGACCCCATCTCTACTAAAAATACAAAAATTAGCCGGGGCGTGGTGGTGTGCACCTGTAATCTCAGCTACTTGGGAGGCTGAGGTAGGAGAATCACTTGAACCCAGGAGGTGGAGGTTGCAGTGAGCTGAGATTGTGCCACTGCACTCCAGCCTGGGCATCGCAAAAAAAAAAAAAAAAAAAGTTAAGAAAATCGTAAGAATTTATTATTCATTAAGTGGAAATGAATCATCATAAAGGTCTTCACCCTCATCATTTTCACACTGAATAGGCTAAGGAGGAGGAAGAAGAGCAAGGAGGAAGAGACAGCAAGGTCTTGCTGTCTCAGGAGTGGCAGAGGTGGAAGAAAATCTGCATATAAGTGTACCTGTGCAGTTCAGACCCAAGTTGTCCAAAGATTAACTGTAGATCTTAATTTGAGCTATATCTATTATAGTTCCCTAAACATAGGATGTGCCTCAAGTCTCTGATATGTATTCCTCTGTCTAGAATGCCCTTCTGCCCTCTTCTGTACTCAGCAGTTTCCCACTCTTCTTTTTTTCTTTTCTTTTTTTTTGACACAGAGTTTCACTCTCGTTGCCCAGGCTGGAGTACAATGGCGCAATCTTGGCTCACCACAACCTCTGCCTTCCGGGTTCAAGCCATTCTCCTGCCTCAGCCTCCTGAGTAGCTGGGATTATAGGCATGCACCACCACGCCTGGCTAATTTTCTATTTTTAGTAGAGATGGGGTTTCTCCATGTTTGTCAGGCTGGTCTTGAACTCCCAGCCTCAGGTGATCCACCCGCCATGGCCTCCCAAAGTGCTGGGATTACAGGCGTGAGCCATGGCACCCAGCCTAGTTTCCCACTATTCTATAAGACTTTTCTGGCTGTGTGCAGTGGCTCATGCCTGTAACGCCAGGGGTTTGGGAAGCCAATGCAGGGGGATTGCTTGAGGCCAGAAGTTCAGGACCAGCCTGTGCAACATAGTGAGACCCCCATCTCTACAAAAAAAAAAAAGGAAAAAATTAGCCAGGCATGGTGGTGTGTGCCTTTAGTCCGAGTTACTTGGGAGGCTGAGGCAGGAAGATGGCTTGTGCCCAGGAGATCAGTGAGCCAAGATTGCACCACTGCACTCCAGCCTGGGCAACAGAGTGAGGTCTGGTCTTTCAAAAGTAAAAACTTCTCTTAAGAAAACAGCTTTTCTGTGACAGTTTCATTGACTCCACCTCCCCAGGCACAGAAGTCGTTCTATATTTCCATAACACTTCTGAAAAACTATCTTGGTGCATTCTAGACTCTTAGTTTTCATGACCGTTATCATATTGGGAAGAAAGCAAAACACATACCTCTGCTAGCCAAAGTTCACTGACTATAACTCTTTAAACACCCTTCTTACTTATTCTGAGCTAATTCATCTCTGAATTTCTAGCTCCTGGCACACAGCAGGTAAATACCATGAATGCTTGTTGAAGAAAAGATGAATTCAGAGAATCTACAGACAAAATATGAGGTTACCATCACTCAGCAATTTCCTTAACATCTGCAGCTGTGTCTTACCTCCACGATACTCTTGGTCACAGTAGATCTTCCTCTCCGAAGTTCATTGGCTTCTCTTTCCACAAAACAGAGCGGTACTTTTCCCACAAGTACCAGAGAATCACTAGTGTCTGGAAATACAAGTTCAAGGCCCAGATCTTCCAGATTTTTGTGGTAACACCTAAAGAGATAACCTCAAATGTTAAAAAAAAAAAAAAAAAAAAAAAAAATAAAAAAAAGGGCTACTTCATTTGCACTTCAGTGCTGGTTCCAAATACTACTTGATAGTTTTTCAAAAGCTGCCACAGGGCTTAACAATTGTATTGTTTTTCTCACACTTATGTGTGTGTTTGGGATTTTTTATTATCAAATTTCCTTTCTGAATTACAGTAATCTTTACTGTTTTTCTCTCTTCCATTGAGAATCAATCTTTGTCTAAGTCTTGTTTCTAAGCGTGTTTTCTTCATTGAGGAACTGCTAACTTCTGGCTGCTGGCACTTAACCGAGTCTGGCACGAAGAAAAGGTCTGAGAGTGACTTGAATCAACATGAAAGCAGGGAGGTAATTAATGCCCAAGGAACTGAGAAGTCCTGACTAACGGGATCTAAGTAAATATATCTGCCTCTACTATAAATTATGTCACAGGGAAAAAAGATTTACTGGCAGTATCATATTCCCAAACTTGAAACATATTGGGAGAAAATTCTCTTTTTCATTTTCAATAATTTGTGCTGCCTAGAAGAGGAAAGATGCCCTATCTTGTGACTCACTATATGATTTGCTTCTTCCTTACATCCCAGTGTTTTACTTTCTTCACATTATGATTACGGTAATGAAAACTAACAGTCTAGAATGCACCAAGGCAAAGAAGAATGGGACCAATTACTGCAGAAACTTTGCTTTCACAAAGCACGGCATAAACACAGACTGTTCCAAGAAATGAGAAGAGTGTTCTAAGCCAACTGCTGGAAAAAATTATCAGGGAAACTCTATCCTATACTCACCATCTTGGATACAGTAGAAAGAACAGGCTGGGTGCAGTGGTTCACGACTGTAATCCCAGCACTTCGAGAGGCCAAAGTGGGAGGAATGCTTGAGCCTAGGAGTTCAGACCAGCCTGGGCAACATGCCAAAAACTCATCTCTACCAAAAAATTACAAAAATTAGTCCAGCATGGTGGTGCTCACCTGTAGTTCCAGCTACTTGGGAGGCTGAAGTGGGAGGACTGCTTGAGCCTGGAAGGTGGAGGTTGCAGTGAGCAGAGATTACACCACTGCACTCCAACCTGGACAACAGAGTGAGACCATGTCTCAAAAATTAAATATTTTAATGGATGATTGGATGCAGAAAAAAATATATTTTAAAAAAGGAAACAGCCTGTGGAGTCAGATGACCTGCCTTTGAGTGCCTACTCCACTACTTAATAACTGCTATGACCTTAGACAAGTTTTATAACCTCTCTTGGTCTCATCGGAGAAATGGAACAATAGTTATGCTTATTCCTCACAGAATTATTGTGAGAATTGATACCATCAACATCACATTCTCATGGTGGTACTAACCATAAGAGTCTCCTTTGTTCCTCTGTCACTGTTATCTCTAGTGGAGGAATTAGAGTAGAAGACAGTAATTTTTTCCGACCAGAGCCTTGTGCCTGTTGCTTCTCATAGGAATCTATTGGCAGAAAGATGAATGGGTTAAGAGTAGGAAGGGAAGTCTTCTAGATTCAGATAAAAATAAAGCACAGCCTTGAGATAATCATTCTAATGCATAGCAGAATGTTTAATGTTCAGTTTTAGATTTTGGATTTCCATTTTTAAAGTCAAAGTAATAAATATTCAGCCTATTAACAATTTTGGTAACATTTTTCAAAATAAGAAATGTAAGACTTGCATCTTATATTCAGATGAACAAGGCAATGTTCCTGTAGTTAATAAATGTGGTTTTGATGACAGAGGTGAATAATGTGGATTACCAGGGACATATGTGGGTTTACCACACAGTCTTATGGCTCCAGAAGGCTTCCCTTTCCTTGAGCAAGGTCTCCCAGTCTCTAGAGAGAATTAGTACTATTCTCAAAAGGTGGAGGGCCTGTAGAGGCAAGTTTTTCTAACACTGTTTTTACTATATCTTTCCCAACTCTTAGGCCGTCATTTTATAAGGAAAAGTGAAAACAGTAGTAATATCATTGTCATTCTAGTCCATGAAGCACTCCTTAGTTCCTTGCCTAATTCTTTGACATTACTCATTGGCCACAGGAGTAAAGACTTTCCTGGTATTTCACCACTTGGCGAACACACTGCCTCATGATGAGGAAAAGGGTAGCACAAAAAAAAAAAAAAAAAGCCGGGCATGGTGGCTCATGCCTATAATCCCAGCACTTTGGGAGGCTGAGGCGGGTGGATTACCTGAGGTTGGGAGTTCGAGATCAGCCTGACCAACATGGAGAAACCCCATCTCTACTAAAAGTACAAAATTAGCTGGGCGTGGTGGCGGGCGTCTGTAATCCCAGCTACTAGGGAGGCCGAGGCAGAAGAATCGCTTGAACCTGGGAGGCGGAGGTTGCAGTGAGCCGAGATCGCGCCATTGCACTCCAGCCTAGGCAACAAGAGCGAAACTCCATCTCCAAAAAAAAAAAAAAAAAGAAAAAATTAAAAAGCATATATTGCTTTGGAAAGATAGATTTAAAAACCAGTGATATGGGTTGTCTCTGAGGACAGAAACTAGGAGGGGTGGGGGCAAGGGTAGAAAGGAGACTTTATTACATTCCTTTTTGTGCCTTTCAGAATTGGATCTATTTGATTATACTGCATATTCAAAAGCAAACTAAATTTTAAAATCAAAACAGCATACTGGGCCTTCTGAGCTGCCAGTGGTCTCTGCCTGATGGAGTGTGGGAAGGCATGCCAAGGTCACCGGGCATACAGAGGGGCAGATCTTTGTGCTGGATGTCAGAGTAAGCAGCCTATCCTCAAGTACCTCTGGGTTGTTCGTAACATCCGGCAAATATGCCTCTGACCACATAAATAAGACTCATATATTTCAATTAGTGAACTACCACATTCTTTCAGTTATAACACAGGCAAACTGGAGGACTTTAGTTTAATTTTTGAACATACAGTACAAAGTGTGCTTTCTCACAACAGTCACACTTAGAAAAGCTCTTTGAGGAGTAATGATTCTGCTGGGAGTCTCAAATTTTTCTGGTTGCGAACAGATCCTTACCAATGATAAGCTGCTCCAGACGGATACGCTCATGGGCAGCGTGCTGATCCACCAGCACAAGCAGGTTTCCACCTAGATGAGCAAGGATTGTGAACTTTCAGATTCTCAGAGCAAGATGATGCCCATCGTGTGTGTTGAGGAGAGACAAGGTTTAATTCAAACTATCTAACAACAGCATAAGACAAAACATTCTGAGTATTAACAATTGTACCTTTTATTTCCTAAAACATGAAATTATGGGGAAAATGATAGCAAACTTATCCCATAAGTTTGGATCCCAGCTCCAATTCTGAAAGGCACAAAAGGGAATATAATAAGGTCTCCTTTATACCTTTGCTCCCACCCCTTCTAGTTTCTCTCCCCAGAGATTACCAGTATTACTAAGTTTTATCCTACAAGTTTATTATTTTCCCCATAATTTCATTTTTTAGGAAACAAAAGGTAAACTAAGAAACTCTTTAGTTCACCAGTATCTCATTTAGAAAACAAAGTCAGGGCTGGGTGCGGTGCCTCACGCCTGTAATCCCAGCACATTCGGAGGCCAAGGCGGGCGGATCATGAGGTCAAGAGATCGAGACCATCCCGGCCAGTATGGTGAAACCCTGTCTCTACTAAAAATACAAAAATTAGCTGGGCATGGTGGCACGTGCCTGTAGTCCCAGCTACTCAGGAGGCTGAGGCAGGAAAATTGCTTGAACCCAGGAGGCATAGGTTGCTGTGAGCCGAGATTGCGCCACTGCACTCCAGCCTGGCAACAGAGTGAGAGTCCATCTCAAAAAAAAAAAAAAAAAAGTCAAAGTGGCATTTCTTCAAGTTTGAAGCTTGAATATATAATTCTTATGTTTAAATACTGATTTTGCCTTATTAATTCAACTTTAATATGATAAAGGATCACTAAACAACACATTGTTATAATCAGTTATCCTTGGTGTACAAGCTACTTGGAAACCCATAAAGAACGTACTTCCAGTACACTTTAGATCACAAGCTGGTGAACTTTTTCTGAAGGGCCAGATCATAAATATTTTAGGCTTCTTGGGCCACACAATTTCTGTCATGACTACTCAACAATTCTTTTTGAGCCAAAGTAGCCACAGATAATATGTGAATATTGTAGCTGTGTTCCAAAAAAACTTTATTTATGGACACTGAAATACTAATTTCATATAATTTTAATGTGTCAAGAAATAGTCTTCTTTTTTTCCCCCAACCATTAAAAAATGTAAAAACCATTCTCATCTCCCTGGCTGTACAGAAACAGGTGATGCCCGGATTCCCCTCGGGCCATGTTTGTCCTGCCTTAGACTTGGGCTTCTCAAACGTTCATGGGCACAAATACCACCAGGGTATCTTATTAAAACGCAGATTCTGGCTGGGCCCTGTGGCTCATGCCTGTAATCCCAGCACTTTGGGAGGCCGAGGAGGGTAGATCACTTGAGGTCAGGAATTCAAGATCAGCTGACCAACATTGTGAAACCCTGTCTCTACTAAAAATACAAAAATTAGCAGGGCGTGGTGGTGCGTGCCTATACTCCCAGCTACTTGGGAGGCTGAGGCAGAAGAATTCCTTGAACCCGGGAGAGGGAGACTGCAGTGAGCCGAGATTGCACCACTCCAATCCCACCTGGGTGACAGAGCAAGACTCCATCTCAAAAAAATAAATAAATAAATAAAATAAAGAAAAAAAGAAATTTCAACAGATCCATTTTACTTCTTTTAACATCTGCAGATTTTGTGGCTACACCCATCTTGAGTACCATTAGTAGAGATTCTGACATCTCAAAAACAACAAAGAATTCCAGATAATGAAAACTTTCAAAAAAATAAAAAATAAAAAATTGGCTGGGTGCAGTGGCTCGCGTCTGTAATCCCAGCACTTTGGGAGGCCGAGGTGGGCGGATCACCCGAGGTCGGGAATTCGAGACCAGCCTGGCCAACATGGAGAAACCCTGTCTCTACTAAAAATACAAAATTAGCCGGGCGTGGTGGCGGGCGTCTGAAATCCCAGCTACCCAGGAGGCTGAGGCAGGGGAACCACTTGAACCCAGGAGGCGGAGGTTTCAGTGAGCCGAGATTGCGCCATCGCACTCCAGCCTGGGCAAGAAGAGTAAAACTTCGCCTCAAAAAAAAAAAAAAAAAAAAAACTATTACTTTTCTAGAAATAGTAAAACTACAAGAATTTGATCTTCACAAATTCTATATTCATGATAATTCTGACAGAACTTTAGGTTACTTTGCCTTTGATCTACTATGACATTTGCTAAACAAGGTAAAGGGAATATTTTGAAATACATAGAGAATAAATGCTCTAAAACTTTAGAAGCACTTGCCTGCAGGTGCTATTAAGCTGGAGCCAGCCCTCCACTGCTGCTCAGGGCTCAGCCACTCAGGCCTTTTCAGAAACTTTATCCCATCAAGCATCCCTTGTAAATATGCTCAAGATTCTCCCATTTAAAAAAAACAAAAAAAGTCCTCTGTTACCCTCACCCTCTGTAGTCCTTCTCTTCCATGTCACAGGCACGTTACTGAGTATCTCCTTGCAGTCTGCATTAGCACCATCAGCGTCTTGTCCTGTCTATTCTCTGAAACAGTTCTCACTTGCTAAAATCCCTGATCTCTACTGTCACAAAATCAGATGGTTCTCATCTTACTTAATGTTTCGGCAGCGTTTGGCATGATGTCTTGGTTTTCCAACACAACATTCTTCTGTTTACTTCCTATTTCTCTAGCTGTTCCTTCACAGTCTGTTTTGCTGGTTCATCCTCTTCTACCCAGCTCTTACGTGCTACAATTATTCTAGATTCAAGACCTCTCCTCACTCTTCATTTTTTTTTTCCTAGGTGGTAACATTTATATCCAGGGTTTCAGTGATCACTTTTCTGCATGTGATGGCTCAAATTTGTATCTCCATGTCAGAACACTTCTCTAGGCCAGACTTGTAATATCCAACCACATTCTTGATATCTTTTTTTTTTTTTTTTTTTTGAGACAAAGTCTTGCTCTGTCGCCCAGGCTGGAGTGCAGTGGTGTGATCTTGGCTCACAGCAACTTCTGCCTCCTGGGTTCAAGCAATTCTCTGCCTCAGCCTCCCAAGTAGCTGGGATTACAGGCGCCTGCCACCATGTCCAGCTAATTTTTGCATTTTTAGTAGAGACTGGGTTTCACCCATGTTGCGCAGGATGGTCTCAATCTCTTGACCTCGTGATCCGCCTACCTCAGCCTCCCAAAGTGCTGGGATTACAGGCATGAGCCACCGTGCCCGGTTGCCTTGACATCTCTTCTGGAGCATTTCAAAGAGAACTTAGACTGAACTCATGATTTTCATCCTCTCTGCTCTGCCTGCAACCCGGGTCCTGCAACATCATTCACTCAGCTATGGAGGCCAGAACACCAGAAGTCATCTTTTACATACCTTCCCCATATCCAATCCATCACCAAGCCCTGCTGACTCTATCTCCTAAATATCTTTCCAATACATTCACTACTCTCTAGTCCACCCTGGTCCCATCTAACCATGTCTCAGATATTACAATATTCTTTTAACAGTCACTCTACAGTTAACTGGAACTCCACCCCTACTCCTACTCCATTCTTCACACTGCAACCACAGCAATCTTTTTAAAATGCAAATGTGATGTGACACATACCATCCCAAAAACAACATCAAAATACAATGATAAAAAATGAAAAGCTTTCAATGGTTTCCAATGGTGTTGGGACAAAGCAAAGCTTGTAGCTCGCATTTAAGATCTGACTCCTACCTACTTCTCTAGCCTCATCTCCAGTTCCCCTTCCTCTGTTTCCACTCACTGAGGAGAATAAATCACAAATTGCATTATGTTATTCCCTCCTTTCTTTACTTAGTTAATTCATATTCATATTCAGACCTCATTTTACCAAGAAGCACTTCCCTGTACTCCCTGATGAAATCAAATCTCCCAATACAGGTTCTTAGAGCATCTTGTATCTCTTCTTCCATGACAAGGGCTAGAATTAAAATTTTATGTTTGTGTAATTATTTTTTCTCTCGCATATATATCTTTTCTCATTATTGTATCCCTAAGGCCTGGTACAGTCCCTGGCATACAATGGGCACTCAATTAATACTTGTTGCATGAGTTAATATATTTACAAACTATTATTGTTTCATTAGAGCAGGTCACCAAGAGATTCTGTGTAAATATTGACAAACCTAGCAGAGTTCATTAGATACACTTTCTATTATTATAAAGGGAAAACATGAAAATATTATTAAAAAGTCAAACAATAGAAAATATTTAAAAGAGTAAAAGATGGGCCAGGCGTGGTGGCTTATGCCTGTAATCCCAGCTCTTAGGGAGGCAGAGGTGGAAGGACAATTTAAGCCCAGGAGTTCGAGACCTGCCTGGGCAATATAGCGAGACCCCATTCTCCACAAAAAGGAAAAAAAACAAAAGACAAAAAGAGTAAAAGATGAAATACCTCCTTTGCACACCCTCATTTTCACTCCCAAAGTAAATACTCTTGATAGTTTAATGTGCATCCTGAGTATATGTATGTGTATGAACATAAAACTAAATGTCTGTCACCCAGGCTGGAGTGTAACAGCACAATCTCGGCTCACTGCATCATTTGCCTCCCAAGTTCAAGCGATTCTTGTGCCTTAGCTTCCTGAGTAGCTGGGACTACAGGTACATGCCACCATGCCCAGCTAATTTTGTATTTTTAGTAGAGACGGGGTTTTGCCATGTTGCTCAGGCTGGTCCTGAACTCCTGGCCTCAAGCCATCCACCTGCCTCGCCTCCCAAAGTGTTGGGATTACAGGTGTGAGCCACTGCAGCCAGCCTTCGTAATATTCTTGGTTTAGATTGGCTTTCCCTGATCCATCCAAATCATTGAAATATACCAAAAATAATCATTAAAAAAAGGTTACAAGAAGACCAGCTGGTTAGTCATTCAGGCTAAACTCTATTCTTACCTGCCTCGCCATTCTCTTCAGTCTTAGTGCTCATCAAGCAGGCAATAAACTTGCTATCGACTTGCTGGAGAACCTGTCAGACATTCAAATAAGTGGTACAACACTAAATAAAAATTAACAAAGCTTTATCTGCATAGAAAGATACAGAACTGTATTTTATTTAGAGTTGTTTGCCTTATCACACTCCTTTCTCTGAGACTGGGTAAGGTTCTGATGAACCAGAAACAGTCACTAGGAAGGATGAAAGAATGGGCAAGTGGAGTGATCAGAAGATGTAGGGGGAGGGAGGCGACAGGGGAAGACAGACACCCACTTCTCAGAGTGGTGCGCTAGCAATACTTTAGAGAAGGCCTGAGATGTTCCCAACAGAGTGACTCTTGAGAATAGGTCATGTGACCAGAGATTGCTAACATACAGGCTGAAATAAATTTTTAAAATTTATATGAAAGCAAGGAAAACTATTTTGGAGGAACTAGTCTATTTATTTTTATTTATTTATTTTTTAATTTTTTTTTTTTTTTTTTTTTTTTGCACAAAATTAAAATTTCAATTATACTTTTTCTCTTGATCTTCTCTAAGTGTTCTGCTGTTGCTCGTAAAGCAGTGGGCCAGGGCTGAGAGCTTCAGCAGTTAAAATTCCACAACGTCTTGTATCCCCTATCCCGTTCACCGAACAGCGCATAATTATTTCATTTCAATGCAGGTGAAAACAGGACCTTGACTTCAAAATCTCATAAATACAACATGCTCATCACCAGGCCCTAACTCGTTCTAGAAATTGATTTATTTAATGATTTATACGGGACACCTCGTCAACGGCACGTGTGTGCGTCCTGTGTGTGTGTGTGTGGTGTTCTTACCTTACTAGTAACTTTTCATTCAGTCCCAGAAGAAAAACGCCACAGCGGAATTACCACCCCCTTCCTCACCATCCTCACCCCCACCCCGCCGCACAGACAAAGAAGTGTCCTTTAGTTGTGATCGACGTAGGTTTTGGACGACGCTAAGCGAATTAGTGGAATTCGGGTTCTGACCACGTCCTCGGATTCCACCTCAACACGATCTCTCCCTGCAGTAAGATTCATACTAGTGTCTAACCTTGCGGACCTTTATACTTCTGCGCAAGTAATTCTATAACTCGAATACACAGTCCTTTAGTTACCGTGTCCTTTCAGTGGCCAACAGTGCCTTAGCAAATGACCCTGCTACTGCGCGTGCGCGCGCCTACGCCACGCTTGGGAAAGCCCGGATATCTGAGGAGTCCATTCAACAAAAGGCGACCCCCTTTGTCTGATCTGCTTTGGTCTGCTTTGCCTTCTGTTGTCACCACCCGCCGTCGGCGTGTCTTAGCTTCCCTTGTCTTTAGTAAGGAAACAAATTGGGCGAGGCTACAGATTTAGGTAAACCTCCTAACCTGCCCATTGACCTGGTACAGACGCAGCGCAAAGCCGCTTGATCAGAAATAGGCCCTGGGCAGTGTTACGGCTCGGGGGTATTCGGGGAGCACATCATGTACCGCTACGACAGAGCGGAACCACCAAGGCGTCTACCCTTCCGCCAGTGGCTTTTACTACCTCTTTAATAAACAGCATCCAGTGCCACGGTGCATCCTCACCTATAATTCCCAGACTTTGGAGGAGGCTATCTGGCTACACGGTGAAAACCCGTCCTCTACTCAAAAAATACAAAAAATTAGCCGGGCGTCGACGGCGCAGGGCACCTGCTATCCCAGCTACTCGGGCGAGGCTGAGGCAGGATGAATTTGGCGTGACACCGGCGAGGCGGAGCTTTGCAGTGAGCAAGATCATGCCACCGCACGTCCAGCCTGGGTGACCAGGGGTGAGACTCCATCTCAAAACATAAC